GTCATCCCTAGTCATCCCAGTCATCCCAGTCATCCCTAGTCATCCCTAGTCATCCCGAGTCATCCCAGTCATCCTCAGTCATCCCTAGTCATCCCGGTCATCCCTAGTCATCCCTAGTCATTTCAGTCATCCCTCGGCATCCGAGTCATCCCTAGTCATCCCTGGTCCCTCCACTCATCCCTAGTCATCCCAGTCATCCCTAGTCATCCCTAGTCATTCCAGTCATCCGTAGTCATCCCTAGTCATCCTAGTCATCCCAGTCATCCCTAAACATCCCTAGTGATCCCAGTCATCCCTAGTCATCCCAGTCATTCCTTGTCATCTTAGTCATCTGTAGTCAGCCCTACTTATCCCAGTCATCCCAGTCATCCCTAGTCATCCCTAGTCATCCCATTCATCCCTACTCATCCCTATTCATCCCTAGTCATCCCAGTCATCCTTAGTCATCTTTAATCATCCCAGTCATTTCTGGTCATCCCAAGTCATCTTTGTCATCGTTAGTCATCCCTAGTCATCCTAGTGATCCGTAGTCATCCCAGTCATCCCTAGTCATCCCTAGTCATCCCTAGTCTTCCCAGTATTCCTAGTCATCCCAGTCGTCTTTACTCATCCCTAGGTACTGCTGACTAGGGATGATTGTGATGATTGATCCCTAGTCATCCCAGTAATCCCTAGTCATCCCTAGTCATCCCTTATAAATAAAGCTTTGATTAGTTATCCCAGTCATCTTTAGGTGTCTTTAGAACTAGGCTTTGTCACAACGAGCGGTTTTTACAACTATTGGTGTTACAATTAGTGGTTCTTACAACCAGGTGTTTTTACGACCAGGGGTTCCTAGAACCAGAGGTCTTTCAACCAGGGGTCGTAGAACCAAAGGTTCTTTCAACCAGGGGTCTTACAACTGGGGCTGTTACAACCAGGGGTTTTTACAACCATGGGTCTTACAAGCGGGGGTTCTTACAACCAGGCGTATTACGAGCAGGGGTCTTAGAACCACAGGTTCTTTCAACCAGGCGTCTTTCAACACGAGTTTCTTACATTCAGAGGTGTTACAACCGTGGGTTCTTATAACCAGGGTTTTTACAACCAGTTGTATTAGAACCAGGCCTTGGTACAACCGGCGGTTCATAGGGGGTGTTTACATGACACCGGGGCGACTTTCGCTCCGGGGCGAGTTCACTCCGGTTCCCTCACATGGCTCTACATTTGTTTACATGATACCACCACAAACAGTCATGCCGGCGCTAGTCGCCCCGGCATGAGTTTACCCCGTGTTCGCACCGGGGCGAGAATTTCACTCCGGTACGAGATTTCGTAACGGTATCATGTAAACGCGAAACGACCACTCGTTTCGTTGTGAAATCGGTTTGCAGGTAGATTGGAACGGGTAGCGCATGCGTAATTTTTGTCAATCCAAGATGGCTTCGTTAGCTTTAAAAGGTTGGACGTGGGATGATGAAAAAACTGACGCGTTCCTTCCCGCAGTACGAAATTATAAAAGTCAAAAACGTGGCGAAGGTATAGAATGGGATTCTGACAAAGTTCTTTTGTGGGAGCACATCCGGATGTCGCTTGGAGAATAATAGGAAACTGATTTTGGAAAGGCTGAACCATCGGGCGCGATCCATTCAACCAAAATTTCCGGAAATTTCGGTCCAAAAAATGGATCGGTTCGGTGCAACCGGAAACGTTTCGAAAAAACTGGTCCACCTTTGGTCCTCTTTTCCACATCGGACCGGTTTGAATTTTGGTTGAATGGATCGCGCTCATCGAGTCCAATTAAACCGCTTGCAGACATGACAAAGGATGAATATCTTAGCTACGTTCAAGAAGTAAAGGAATAGAAAGAAGTGATATGGAAAGGTTTAAAAAGGGTTAAAAACAAATATAAAGGTCGTAGTTACTAAAACAAGGAATGACCTACAATGATCTACAATGATCTACAATGACCTACAATGACCTACAATGAGCTACTATGAGCTGCTACGAGCTAAAATGAGTTAAAATAAGCCCTACAATGAGCTACAAAATGACAGACAATGATGTTTCTCGTGTGTCACGCTTGGACGTGACACTAGGCTCATGGTATTAAATTGCCAAGCACATTTTGGAAAGGAAAAACAAAAATAAAGCCTGATCTCAGGTAACTTGAGAAACTTGAAAATAAATATTGCAATCGCGTTTTTATCGGTAACACTATTATACCCTGTATTGACGTTCATCCAGGGACTCCCTTAGTTGGCCTAGATGGGTATGGGCCGCTGAGCAGGATATGGATTTTACTATTTAGCGTTACAAACAGAGCATCTTGTTGGACTGGAAGCCACTTACCGTAAACGATCTAATAAACGCCCACTCTCAAATAAACGCCTCTTATCTAATAAACGCCCGCCCTTACGCTGTTAAGTTAGTATTAAACGCCCCTGTCTAATAAACGCCCCCCTTGAAAATTGCCCCCAAATACTAGGAAATGGCGAAATAGAGCGAAATCAATCAATTT